AAAAAAAACAAAACAAAAAAAACCCAACAAACAAAAAAAACCACCGATAGTCAAACTAAACTTTAGTTTTCTTTATTTTGTCTAATTACTGCATAAGACAGCCCTCGTGAGCCTGCAGAGGATTTTTTCCTTGCCTATTATTTATAAGCTTTCATATTATGTGAGAAGCCTTAAATTTCTCTGGATAAATTATGTGTAGGTAAAAATACTGTTTCTTTTTATTTAACGTGTTCACTAATAATGATGTTTAGTTCTGACCTGCACTGCAAATTGGCCTGTATATTTCTGGTTTCTCCAAATATAGATTAAAATTAAGCTTTATAGTTTTACACTGAGGGTTTTTTTTAAGCTGATAACAGTAGTCAAAAGGAATAAACAAATGCAGGATTGTTTTAGTACTGTGTTTCCCGAGCACGTGATATTCTAAAAATACAGAAGTACCTAAGACTGCTTTAAGTGTCAAAGAATTTCTGCAAAATTAAGTTCTTCAAACTGTCTACAAAGATCCCCCTAAGTTTCTTTAATTAGTTGTAAGGATTTTGAATAGTTGTGATTCTGCTGCAGTATAGTCTGATCCTGACAGGCTAATACCTTAAACAGGGGAAAACATTTTTAATGTAATTTTTATAGAAAAGTAGACTATGGACACAAATGAATGTGTTGTTGATAAATGAAAGCCAAGGAGAGGAGGATCCTGTGGCCACAGAAAATTGACATGCTTCCAGCCTTCTCCAGGACAGTTACAACCCATTTGTTTTACCTTTGCTACTTCAGCTCCCTCATACTAATTTCACTTGGAGGGCTGTGCTGGGTAGAGAAAGCTGATGCTGTTCAGATAGCTACAGCTGTCAGGAAGTAACGCATTGTACACGAAGGCGTACTCCATGCTTCCCACTTGTAGTGTGCTTCCTCTCAGGCCGTGGAGCACTAGCCACATGATTTTTAGATATAAGGGACTTTCCTGTGATCATAGGAGGATTAGGTAACTGCCCTACTGCCTGCTCCCTCTCTATTGGGGGGTGCTAGGATTTGATCCAAAACCAACAGAAGCCTGTGGACAGAATCTCATTGACTGACATTGTTTTTTAAACTCAGACTCTATAAATAAAGGCAGTCTTCATGGAGTGGAAGGTTTGAATAAACGTGATCAACTGAAATGACTGCCTTCTGCTAAAGTGTCCACCCTGCATCCAGCAGTCCCATCAACCTTCAGTGTGAATGTATATGCCAGGGGCCTAGCAGCAACATAATTAGGCCTTACAGAGTTTTCACAAAATTAAAGATATTCTGGACTTTTAGCATTTTCTAGCCCAGCCTCCGCTCAAAGCAGGACTACCAGCAGTGCTGCATCAGGTCAGTCTTGGCTTTGGCTAGCAGAGTCTAGAAAACCTTAAACGATGGACTGCAACCTGAGTGGCCCATTTCCAGTACTGAAAAAAATTTTCTAGCATCTGGCTTGAACCTCTAAAGTAGAGACCTCTGCCTATGCCATTAGTTATCTGCCACTATGGAGAAGAATTTGGCTCTGTCTTCATAACTGACCTTCAAGTAGCTGTAGGCTTCTAGTAGACATGCACCACACACACCCCCAGCCTCCTTCACCTGACTAAACAAGACTGGGTCCCTCAACCTTTCCTTGTACGGTGTGTCCTCTAGGGCCCATCTTGGTAGCTGTCTATGGGATCCTCTCCCGTTTCTCAAAATTTTCTTTGAACTGTAGTCAACTTTAGGACCCTCAGTATTTCAGATGCAGCCTCACCATTTCTGAGTAGAGGCATAATGACTTCTCTCACTTTACTGGGCTACATTGACATGCAGTCAGCATGCAATTTTCCCCAGTTGTGATGAAAGCACACTGTTGGCTCATGATCAACTTAACTCCCATCATAACCCCTACATCCTTTTCAGCAGGACTACTTGACAGCAAATTGATCCTTACTTCTTCTTTGCAACCTAATGTGACCCCTATGCTTACGCATCCTGTAACCAGAAAAAAACAGCAATTTTCATCCTGTTTTAAGATCAACTTGACTTAAAAAGTTTAAAGCTATTTTGTACTTGTGTTGTTGGCTTGATCTACTGCAGACATAAGCATCAGCTGCACCATCTGCAAGCAGCTCTACGTGCTTCTGTATCTGGGCTGTATCCAATATGGTGTTTTTCACTCTTGCATTCCTTCTTGGAATTCCTCATTGTGGCAAAAAGTAGCTATCCAACCTCTTTTTCTGTAATTCCTCTCATTAATTACAGGCAGTTAAGAAATCAGCCTTTGAAAACCCATCTGCAGTCACTAAAGAGTTACAGCTTGTATATCTGAACAGGAAATTTTAGATGTTTGCAGGCAGCCAATAAAAGGAGAGATCAACAACAGCTGACTCACACAGGGTTTGAATGCAGTTCAAAGCTGACTTGCACTTGGTATCTGTAGCAGTTTCGCTCTGCTGTTCCATGGGTTTTATGCCTGTATTTCCAGAGGTAAGTTGATTTTTGTTTCCAATTTCTTTTACTGAGGCATCTGAATATTGACATAATGTAGCGTTTTTCTCATTCTAAGGAAAACATCTTCACTATTAGTTACTTTTAAAAAATTCCCTGTAAAATTAGAAACTTGAAATAAATTGTTTGATGGTAGTCTCCCTCCTGCCCCTGCCTGCCCTACTAGGTGAACATGACAAAGTTATCTAAGGCTTTCAGTGTCTTAGTGAAAAATAATATGAAACCCTTCATTGCAAAGGTCACCTAAGAAATACTGGGTTTGTGGTCTGATACGGACTTTTTAAAGGGGTCCAGGAGAAAAAGCATTCACAAGAACAGAACTATTGAAAAAATTGCTTTGGTACCAAACTTGCAATCTAGGGAGTAGAGAGATACTTTGTTATCTATAATTCCATGATAGTCCCATATTCCATGATTAGTCTTTCCAGCTGTTTTAGGAATCTGGGTAGCACCCTAGATAAATAAAAGATTTCTCATTTGGGGGTTAAACTCTTTTGGAGATTATCAGCAAGTCTCTCTGAGGTGTGGGAACAGATGTACAAACTCAGACACAGGGACAATGGTGCTTGATATGTCATGGTTTGTAACTGAAAGATCGAAGTGGTTTTTGTTTTGTTTTTAGAAAGTCTCTAGTTAAAAATCTCTAGTTAAATTAGGTTTTGCAAATCCAAAATAGGAGCTGATGGCTAGCTTTTATTTTTACCTAAGTAGCCAGTTAGCAAGAGTTTAAAAAACTGTTATAGCTTTACTTGATTCAATTTTAAATAAAAATAGATACTTTCAGGAATGGTTTAGATCCTATGTTCGTTGTTTGATCTTCCTTGTACTATGTTTGGAGTCGAGTAAATTCTGTTGGCTATTTAAATGATTATTTATCATAGTACATAACAAAAACGAGACATAATTTTGCTCCTGACAGCCTTTTGATTATCTCCTTTATATTTAAGATTGGTAGATCTGTGTGGTCTGTCTTTGCAACTTTAAAGGATAAATGGCTCATTTGGAAACTTATCTTCATTCAGAGTAATCTTTTCAAATTTCATGAAACTCTTAACCAGTCCCTCAGCCTCATACCATACTGGATTTATTCTTTAAGGAAACTAAGTGAAGCACTTAAGGCAGCTATTGCTTTCAAACTACAATAATCTAACAAAAAGCAAAAAGTTCAACTGTGCTTTCCCATCAGAATCAAGTACAGTTAAAGCTGCACTCGTAAATCAGCTGCTGAATTTTTATTTGCATTTTGATTGTGGTTAGATGCAAAACTGAGCTTAGTACCTCTCTGATTGTGAAACATGGCTGCGTGGCCCAGCTGACCTACTGAGATTAACCGAAAATAAGTTGGTCATGAACTAGAAGCAGTTCAGCCATGAGCATAGACTAATTTATCATCAGGGACTTGTCCTTTTTTTTTTTTTTTTTTTTTTTTTTACTCATGGAGTACAAGTGATGTGCTCAAAGTCAGAAGACTTTCAGGCCTCCTGTATCCCAGGAGCTCTTTGTAGAACACATCATCTTCTAGAAGAACACAATTCACACTCAACAGTCCTTACTGGTTACTTCAAATTTTTGGCCCTGTTGCTTCAGTTCCCTCCTGTGTTTCCTTTTCTAACCCTGGTCTACTGGACCCTGAAGGGAGTATTCCAGTTTGAGTTCTTCTGACTCACTGACCACTGATCTTGCAGTAATCCTTACCAATGGTTTTATCCCATCTGTTTTCTTGGCTTGCTTGTTTTCCTCTTTCACTACTGACTTTGTGGTTATCTCTAGTCTAATGTAGCTTCACAGTTGTGAATAAAAATGTTACTTGCATAGTAACACAGGTGATGATTTGCAGAGGTTATCTCTAATCCACATGCATTGCCATGCAATGTGTCTGAGACATTCAGATGGCTGTAGAGAGGTAATGTATTGAGAGTATTGGCCAAACTAGAGGCTGCTATGAAGACACAAGCCCATTTAGCAGAGTTCTGCCAGCTTACAGCAGCAGGAAATTTGCCTTTTGCCTTGCTTTTGCATTTACATGTGATGCTGTATTAAAGAATACATGCAAGAATGATGCTGAACACACTGACATGAGTTACTGAATAATTGCCTTTTTTGAGAAGCAGCGAAACTGTATGTTTGTCTAGCATGTAACCGTAAGATACTAGTTTGTTGTCTACATAGTTCAGCATCACTTTAAAATCACACTCTATATTATAAATACTGGCCCAACATTTCAAAGTCATCAGGTGGAAATAATAATGAGCAATTAATTAGCACCTTGCAGTCTCAGATGGCAAGTTATGGTCCAGACACTCCTTTGCAATTAATGTGTTTTTCCTGGTTTTATAAGGAAAGTCTGACACAGTGGTAAAAGGAAGCCTGTTGGATTAGGGTAATAGTTACCTGGGAAGTAAGGGGTGGTGCAGCTTCGCTGTGCTTTGGTAGTAGTGACATAAAGTAGTTCTTAAAACTTGTTTTCTTTTCTGCCATTTTTTCCCCAAGCCAGCCACCAAGAAATGGCCAAATCATTACCTGTAGTAGCCCAGGAAGATGTGGATAGCTTTACCTTGACCAGGACAGGCTCAGGCTTTGCACTCAAAGCCTTTCATATTTCTTGGAACACTCACATCTCTGTGAAGCTGCTGACCAGCCAGGACACTACAGGGAGGTACGTGTCTCATTTGGCCAACTAACTGAGCCGGTGGGCAGCACAGACCTGCAGCGATGGCACCAGAATGAATCATGGCATGCCCAGGACCATCTGATTCCTAAAGACATCTCCATTCCTAGAAATCCTGATTAGCCAAGAGGCAACTAGGAGGAAGTTCTACTGAGAAACAAGCTGTATGGTTTTTTACAAATTTTTATAAAAGTAGAGCTTAATCCTGAAGTCATTAATTATCTCTACTATAATAATGTCTACAAACCCCTGATCAGTAATACTCAGCATGCTATGTTACTACATCTTTCTGGAGGTCCCTGAAGAGATCTCAGTTGAACTTAACATAAAACAGCACGTACAGGTGACAGTGTAGAGAAAGAGGAGGAGGGAGGGATAATGGTCATGGTTACAGGGCAGTGAGATGTGTACATGTCCTAATTATAAAAACAAATGAGCAGTAACTGACAGGCGTCAGCCTACTGACCACAAAATTCCAGGGTGCAACAAAACCACAGAAAGTTTCCAAGAGTAACCACAAGCTACTTTTGATGAAGCAAGACCAAAGCATTTTAGGGAATGCACTGACCTGACTGTTTATCAAAAGGAGTGCCTGATGTGCATCCACGGACTAGTTAGTCCTGTTAACTGGGAAAGCTGCCATTCAAGCGGCTTTTGTTAAAAGTAAATACAAAAGGGTCCTACTTGAATACATAGTGTTGTATTTGTTCCATTATAAAGGCAGGGGAGGAAAAAAACAGTATTTCATACAAATATTTTTAAATGGACAGTTTAAATTTTCAGTGATACTTCAAAAACCACATGCTGCCAGAATTTGAGAACAGTTAAGAATTGTAAGGTTTGGTGGGGTTTTTTTGTGGTTGGGGAGGAGGATTGCTTGTTTTTTGGACAATAGAAGTCCAGCAATTCTGTAATCTGAACAAATGTTATTTGTTTGGTAGCTTGTTTAAAGAAGAAAGCTTCCTCCATCCCCTATCCACATTTTCTTTAAATCAAACAAACCAACCCCAAAACAAAACAGTTAAAGTTACAGAAATCAACATTTTACTTTGCTTTGAATTTAACATGCTACCCTGATTTGACATCTTTTCACTCACACTTTTTTCCCTAAAACTAAAGCCACTGTTTTGTTCGTGTCTCTCTTTCTACCATTCTGATCTCTTGTTTACACTACACAGTGTTTAGGAAAGCTGGGAGAATAAACTGTGTTTTACTCCAGCTGCAAAATGTTTAACTGTGTGCTGAGGATAAATATTTAGATTTGTGGAAATAAGTGTTAAAACAGGTGGGGCTGTGAATTACTTCCCGTAATTAGTTTACAGGCTTGTGAATCAACACAGTAAATATGAGAAACTGAAACTGAAGTCTCATATAAGAGCTGGTTAGAATAATGAGACTGAGTTCCAGGTCTGTTGAAATCAACTGAATCTTGAATTAATTTTAATGAATTTTCAGCTCACAAGTACCATAGAGTAGAGATAATCAGATCTTTAAAATAAAACATGCAATTAACAAAAATTGAACATGTAGCAGAAGTTCAGTTGCTTCCACAAAAAAGCACAATTTAATTGATAGTTCAGTGTTTCCTGTGCATGAAGAAGTAACTGTCTGAAGTTTAGATAACAAAACTGTATTCTTCTGATGATGATCAAAGCTTTGCTGTAAATAAACTGTTTGAATTCAGGTCTACAGTCCAACCACAGTTGAGTTTGAATTAAATTTGGCAAAGTCACTAGAGTTGTACTGTTTACATCAAATCTGAATTTGGCCTCACTTTTCTATAATACTCTGACATGCTGTATCATATCTCATTTCTATAATATGGTCCCATTAGATAAGCATGGAAGATAATAATTTCCCTGTAAATGTGGATCTCGCTAATAGCAGAAGGATATAACACAAGTTCTTGGGGACACTAAGGGGAAAAAAATTGATTTTTCTTACTCTAGCATTTCATATAACTCAGCTTTCTCCTGCCTTTGCACTTCAATCTTGCTTTAAACTGTGCTCTTACATTCATAGTAAAGCATCCAGAGGTCTTTCATGTTATATTAGAAAAATACACTACACAAGGGATTGCTTCATTTTCTTAGAATTGTTTGGAAAGATGATATAATACTGGTTTTATTGGTAGAATTATATTAGCTTGTGTTCAATCATATGATTATCTCTCATTTCCATATCCTACACTATCTCATCTCCAGCTGAAATTCCCTTCAGTCTAACCTGCCTCTAATGCTTTTTTGTTTTTTAACAGGGAGTGGAAGTTGCTACTTCAGGATATAGCAAGTGTCAGACGCTATGAGTCTGAACGTCTCCTGCCTTCTCTTGGGATTTACCAGTACCATGGACTTGTGGGTATAGTGACTGAATGGATGAACAATGGATCCCTCCACTCGCTCATCCATGAGGTACATAAAAGAAGTCATCTTTTATGTGACAAAAATAATTACAAGGTCAGCCAACAGAGAACAATCACCATGTAAATTATGGACAGTAGTCACAGTCAACCTGTTCTTTAGCTTCTATATTGTACTTCTGTTTATTGTCAAATGAAAATGTGAATTGTAACAATTTCACACTACCAACACCTGTATTTTGTGTTACTTAGCGTCAGCTGTACCCAGAACTTCCATTTCCCTTACTCATAAGGATCCTGTCAGATGTGGCTGAAGGGCTGCATCACCTTCACAGCCTCAAACCAGCTTTCTGCCACTGCAGCCTGAAACCTTCCAATGTGCTTTTGGATACGCAGTACAGAGCCAAGGTAGGAGCTTCTACTTTTAGCCTATTAATGTAAAATACAGTGATTGTCCTATTGTTGCATATATTTATCCTAATAGTCAACATTTAATACCAAGACTTGAGGTATTGTTACTCAAATTTATTTTTTGTCCCATCTCTGTAGATATCGGATTATGGTCTAATCAACTGGAGGAGTCAGCAACTGAGGTCAGACCTGCAGAACTGCAATCGGAGAAACTGCCAGTATTTAGTGTATCTCCCTCCTGAAATACTTGAAGGAGGCCTTCCTTCCCAGGAAGGTGATATTTACAGGTGAATGGAATTTCTAAGGGCAGGTCATACCTAGTCCTTGTTACATTCTACAATGCTGCTGAAATACTTATTTTCAAAGACACTACAGTAAAAATGCCAGATCTACACAATGCAGTAGGATAGTATTCCCTGAGGCCAATTACAGCAGTAAATTAAATTTGAAATTCCCTATATTTGGTGAATAATATACCAAGGTTAAGAACTGTTCTCAAAGTTCATCATATAAATATTTATATAATGGACCCAAATGTTTTAAAAGGGTAACGTAGCTGTCAAAACTTTCATATACATTTAGAAACCTAATAACTACTTCACATAGTTTCTAAGCATGAACTGTTGTTGGCTTTAGTTTCAGGAAGAACATTTCATGCCTAAATGAGGCCCAGGTAAAAATAAGACCTTTCTCTCAATAGTGTCCCATTAAGGTCCTATGGAATCTCTGCTGGAATAACCTACTGAGCCGCTCAAGCATTCATACTTTTTAACGAAGTCATTTATCCAAAGGAGGAAGATAACCTATTTCCATGTGTTCCTTTTGTATATATTACATGCTCGAATTGCAACTTTTGTCTGTATGGACATAGGTCTTTACAACTGGCATACAGAGCCTGTGGACTAACATTATAAATAACTTCTAAGCATGACCACTCTTCTGTTTTCAGAGCTTTTATAGAAGCAACTAATTCAAACTCCTGCTTTTTTGTCACAGAGGTAGGCTCTAAGATGAGTCAAACAATGCATACACTTGAGGAGACCTATAAATGATGTGACTAATCTGATGTTGTTCATAAACACAAGATTTTTGCGCAGGAAGAGTGGAGGCTTATTTTCAGGTAGCATAATTCATTTTCCAATGTGTCATTCTTGTATAATTTTAGATGCTCAGATGTGACTCAGTGCATGAGATAGGTGTATGTTGAGACAGTGGTGCAACAGAGAAAACAAAAGTATGTGTCATATGTGAAATATTAAGTACATGTAAGTTACATGTATGCCCACGTTACATTAATACTTTCCTCGAGGATATTTAAGTAAAAGCACCTTCAGGTTTTATGTGGAAATAAGACAGAAGAGGGGATGTTTTTAAACATTGTAATTCAGCACTGCAGCAAGCTATATGAGTAAGCAGGTATGTTTATCCTAGAACTGCTTCTTCCCCTTTTGATTGCTTTGCTTCTGACTCATCCATAGCCTGCTTTCTCTCTTCCAGCAGCCTCCTTGCTTCTGCCTCTGATTTTGCAGATTGAGATTTTTATCAAACAACTGTATTTTATATGATCTGAGTTGTGGGCTACATATGTAGATCTATGGTATCACTGGAATACTTCCTAAGATGTTAGAAAAGGAAAAAGGTATTTGGAGCCCCATCAAAATTTGCCAAAGAAAACAGACATAGAGTGGGTCAGAATCAAGTTTTTGGTAGGTTAACTAATGTGCTTGTCAGTACCTGCTGAAAGTCCAGCTCTTTCAGTTGCTAGTTAAATTACTTGAAAACAAAACAAAAATGATAGAGAAAGCACAACAGAAGATTTCGAAATTCACAGGAGCAAATGGAGATAAGGCAGTAATGTGAAATGTAATTCTAATTGATCCTATGTTTTAAAAAAAAAAAAATTAAAAATTTAATTCTAACTGATTTATTATAAGAACAGTTCAGCTGAAAACTGAAACTTCGTAATGCAGGAAAAAGGATCTTGTCAAATTAGGAAAGACTTGGACAGATTTTGTCTTGAAAAACTCCCTTCTCTTAAACCCGTGAAATTTCTCTTGGAAATGAGAACATAGATACAGATTGCAAACTAATAAATGGTCTTTCGCTGTTCTGTTTTTTTCAGTTTTGGAATGCTGTGTTGGGAAAGCCTAAGCAGACAGAAACCTTTTGAAGGTATTTATCTCTGTTGTTCATGTCAGAATTTGTGTTGCCCTAATCTCTCCCACAAATTCCCTTATTGCAGGGAAATTATGATACCAACAGCTCTGTCTTTTCAGATGTCCCTCTGCCTTCTATTAATGTTACAGCACAAATCACATGGGATGTAAAAATTAGAATCCCTCAAAAAACCCTCAGTGTTTCCGAAGAAGCTGATCTTTCTGAAGGGGAAAGGCATAGCTTCATACCCCACTTGTATCATCTCTCTGTGTTTGCTGAAGCACTCTGTTACTGAGTTGGGTTTTCCACTTATCTTTAGTGAGGAAGAATACCACTTTATATTTGACAGTTGTCACTTTAAAATCAGGGAATATTTTAGTGACAAGCAGCTAACTAGATTACCAGAATGCTCATTTTTAAAGTTGCCATGAGTTTCAAATCCTGATCAAGAAATGCCAGTTCATGCTGAATCCTCTTAAGCAAGCAGGGAATCTTACTTTCTTAGATGAAAGTGTGACCAGTTTTAAAGAACTGAGTTTGCAAAGCATTGCATAATAATTGTCACAGTCTAGGAATGATCCCTGTTTCACGGAGAGATCAGCGAAAGGTTTCTTTGCTATGGGCTGCATTCTGCATGACAAAACTGATTGAAGGACTCCTGTATTTTACAGGCTGAGGACCTTTTAGAAATACTGCATAGAGTAGTATCTTAACGTTCATACAGCTTATGGCTGCCATCTCGTGGCTGCCCAAAGTGGGGGGGGGGGGGGGTGTATAATAGGAGTTATATTCTTATAATGCAGGCTTTAAATAAAGGCTTTATATAAAACTATGTGCTTAGAATATGCCCCTAATAATTACATGTATTCCTGAGGTATCTGTGCATGTAGTTTACAATGCATATTTACATATCCATTTGTGACTTATTACTTGGACAGAGTTCTTTATCCTGAAATGTCCTGTTGCAATAAGTACCTGTAGTTATTGTTAAAGGTTAGCATATCTATTTACAAGAGTGTTAATATATTTTTTACTTTTAAAAAAGCAATCTTTGTTTTAAAATACACAAAGTAACTTATGCTGAATATCATTTTAAGAGAGTTCTGAGGTCTTTAATGTTTTTTGCAGTGATGTTTTCTTCTATATTGCAGGTCAAACAACCCTGCTGGAAGTTTTGACAGGAATCTGCAGCAGTTTGCGGCCTGGCATTTCAGAAAAGTTTATACCAAGCAATTTGCCTGAGAGGAATAGACTGTTGCACCTTATCACTCTGTGCTGGCATCAGGAACCAGATTATAGACCATGTACTCCAGGTAACATTCAGGATTTGCTTTCTTTGCAAGATTTGTAATGGAGATAGTTTTGCTGGGAACATTGCTCTAGCACTCTAAATCAATGACATAAAAAATGAAGTGGAAGTAGTCTTTAGATCATCAGAGTACTGTAGGTGTTTTTTCTAACCAAAGATTCCTACCAGAAATGGCTTACTTATCTCCAAAATTGTGTTTAGTGCAAAGTAAAAATGAGTAAAAATAAAGGAAGGGATATTATCACCTATATATAGTAGTTTAACAATGATCAACCTGTCTTCAGCATTCTTGATTCCAATACATAACCAGTTCCCTTTCAAGTGTGCTATCATTGTTTACTTTAGTGGAATTGTTATGTTTACCATCACTTTCTAAAAAGATAGCCAAGAAAAGTCAAAACTGTGATATTTGAGGACTTCTGAGCAAATTTCAAAGCTGAAGTGCTAAGGAAACAGTTTGCATCTAGCTTTATTGTGACAGATTTATACAGTCATGTGTAAACCTTTTGCAAGTAAACTCACTACATCTGTATTAACATTTAAGAAAATGTGATTTTTATATGACTGTAACCATTCCTTAAAATCAGTTCAAAAAGGAAACCAAGAGGAGGTATGAGGTCAAAGTTGTATTAACCAATTTCATCTAGTTCATCCAGCAACTCACCATAGTAATAAACTTAGTAGCAATATGCTGATGCTTAAATATATATGCACTTTCATACATAATGTGGTATTTTAAAGGCTTTATTACCCCTGCAGAATGTGTAGACCTTCTAAATGGAATTTTGACAAGTATAAATAAGGAGGCAATTTCCACTGCAATCTACAATCTGATGGATGCAAAGGTTAGTGCAAAATTTAAGTTTTGTTCTCCTACAAAGACATTACTTGATTCTTTCAATAGCAATCTTTGTGGTCCAAAACCAGGAAAGGCTTTGTCTTCATTGTTTTATGGGACATGCCAGAGAGCTGGAGAGTACCCTTTAGCACTTCAGGTTCATTCAGGAATTGCCGAAAATAAATATTGTGAGGTTCTCTAGACACTGTGTCAATTGCTACCTGCAATTATAAAAATACGGCAGCTTCTTTCCAGTCACCAGCTGTAACCAGACTGGTAAACCCATGTGAGCGAGAACAAATATCAGCCTCAAGCAGATCAGATTAGGGCTAGAACCAAGGACAATTTTTGTTGTACATATTGGTTGGAAGAAATTTAGTCCAAAACCTGGACAGCGTTTGTACCTGTTGTAGCAATACTAGCATCAGCACTTTTCTGTACACTTCACTGCTTCTTAATTGACGTGCTTCAGGCAGAAGACACTACTTGTCCTAGGGTCTAAGAGGGTTCTCTGATACCACAGGAATGGATGGGGAATGGCCAACAATGAAGGGATACAGCTAACTCCATATACGTCTACATTGCCATGGGAAATCCGGCACAAATCTGACTGCCACAAATATAGCTATATCCTTTCTAGTAACTTAGTCACAGTGAGGAAACTAGTGACACATGCTTCAGCCCTTGAACAAGTATTCTGACTCCATCTGGATTTACACAACCCATGCTGTGTTGTCGGTTTCATTGCTGTGCTTATGCTAGTTGTTCATGTTAACGCATGCTGGATTATTTCTACATGTTGCAATCACATCCTGGGATTATAGAACAGACTTGATCAATGTTTTAATAGGTGGCATAGTTATAGTCCAAGTCCTTTTTACTACTGTTGAAGTTTATTTAGGATTGTACTGCCAAGTATTCCATAATCTGATGCTTCAATGTCCCTTGAAAAAGGTTTTCTTTTTCTATTTGCTAAATTAGCAAGGAGCACTATTTATTGTTCAAACAACTGAACCAATAATATGTCCAAAATGACTGTGAAAATGCTACTGGAGATTCTTGAAAATTGATTAATTCATAAGTGTTGAAGCATGTAAACTGAAAAACAGTTTAAGAAATCTGCTGTAGATGTACAAAATGGAAAAAAAAGTTACAAGTATTGACACATCCTTATTGCAGACAGTTTGGCATACTAAATACAGGACAGCCCTGCTGCTTGGATACTTAAAGGAAAACATGTTATAGCTAGTCCAATCTCTCTCTCTCTCTCTCTCTCGATATGGGGCTATTTTCACCTTTCCCTGCATGATTCAAACCTGGGTTTTAAAATAAATTTGAAACAGCAGAAACAGTAACAGGGTAGAGTTGCGTCAGACTCTATGCCCACTTACATCTGTTAAAATGCAAAACTGCTCTGTGGAATTCACTCTTACTATGTATCAGTGTATCTTAAAGTATAATATATATTGTCAGTATAAATTCTTGCTCCTGACTACTGTGAATTGAACAAACTGTATGTATACTTACTGGAGTTACTGTGCTATTTCTTCCAGGAGATGGCACTTAATGCATGCAAAGGTTCAGAAATACACACATTGCAGATGGGCACATGCAATTCAGAGGTGAGTAGATGGCACGAGAGTCTTACACGAGTACTTCATAAGCTGCCTGTTTTTCCTGCCAGCCCTAACAATGTATAATACAAACACTGTGGGGCAAAATATCCCTAACCCTTTTTGTCCGTAACCAGGATAAGTCCATCCGGTTAACCAACAAAAAACACTGTTTTACCTTCTTACAAGCAGCTGACTCTGATGTTGCTCTTGCAAAAACAACCTCCTCTGTTTAAGAGTTGCTTTGAACCTCTGCTTCTTGAAGAGGTCCTAATGAAATTGCAAAAGTCTAGCCTTCCTCGTACTGTGTTCAAAATGATGGCTGGAAAAACTCCTAGGCTGAATTCTAGCATTTTCAACCAGTTTTCTTAGAGCAACACCAGCTGCTTTGTGATAACTCCAAAATACAGTTAACTCCCATTTTCAAAGTGATTTTGGCACTTGTGGCAAGCCTGCCAATACTGAAAGATACAGAGACAGAACTGAAGCTCACATGCCTGGATCAGAGCTAGCTTTGAACAGCTCAAGTTCTAGTGACACCATGGCTGCTGGCAGCACAGGCTGCAGACGCAATCTGGGACTGCAGTAAACTCTAGGACAGTTAGCCTATGGATCTGTGCTGCCATGGTGACTCAGGGTAACTACCTAAAGTTGAATTCAGTATGTCTGTATGCTCAACAGCTGCATACCTGCCCTGCCCTGTGATATGACTGCCTTATTCCAAGAGAAAACTTCTTAGAAGAGGGTTTGGAACAAAAGATTCCAAGAAGATAATTCTTCTCTATTTTGATCTTTTTCAGGTCATCTGTCCACAAAAAACCAACCACTTAATCAGCAAGAAAATTCCTTTTGTAGTGCAAAGCTTGTCAACTATTCTACTTGATAGCAGTGCAAAAAATGCAGGAAGAGAAAATATTCTTGAGACGGGTCTGGCAAATACTATGCCACAGAACGCAACAACAAAGAAAGGTCTCTACCTTGAAACATACTCAGCTCCAGATATTCTAAGAAAAGGATAAATATTACCACGTTTTCCATATACAAATGTTATTTTCCTTGTAAAACTGTCCCTTCTCAGAGTACAGCTGTGCCCTCTAGTGGTATCATCTGAAGCACAAGTTCACTGCAGAAAACCAGAGATGCCACAATACCTTTTGATAAAGTGTATAGATCAAAAAGCCTTTTTTGCTAAATTTTGTTTAGAACCCTGACCTGTAATGTACAGCTGCCTTTCCCTTGCACATCAAATATTGCCTGTTGCTTTCGATAGAACAAGTTCCTCCTGGGAACCACACTGCCTTGTGCCACCAGGAATAACTGCTTTTTTGTAATTTCTCATAAGAAAAAGACGTATGTTTTAAAAAGACTGTGCTGCCAGGAACACGTGAATGATTCCTGGTAATCACCATTTCCTATATAAATAACTTTCTTTACTTTTCCATTGTGGATTTATCCTATCAAAGTGTTTAAATTTGTGTCAAAAAGACTTATGTTTCCTTAAAAGCTTTTTTTGTACTCCTCATGCCTTTGGATACAAAAGTTGAGCCACAGGAAATCAATTCACTTATAGCAACATCTGCATTTCCAAGCATTTTAGTTCTGATCAACAGCCATCAGACTTACGGGCAGAATAGAATGTTCTGTAACTTCAGAAACAAATTCCTACAGACAGTTTGAAAAAGTCAGATTTGTGTAGTAATATATGCCAAAATCTTCCTAGGAATAATGATGTATTAACAAGGGCCCAAAGAACAGCTAGTAATAAGTAAGCGCTCTCAGGTTAGTCTTCAGTTCCAGTCTTCTGCAGTGGCTGACATGTGTAATGTTCTGTTGTTCAATTCAAGGGTCTGATCTTACTCATCTTAAACTTTTTCCAGATCACCCAGGCTCTGACAGCAGAAAACCAAATTCCTTTTGCATGATTCCTTTATCTGGTTCAACCACAGGTAAAGACAGCAGACAGCATAATGACCCACCACTGGCTCTTAAGCACAGACCACAACCTAGGCATCTTGAACGAGCAGTGACAGGTAAGACACCATTTCTAGTTTGAGGTGGCAATATTCTCCTTGGCCAGATCTTAGTGATTAAATTGTTTAAAGTTTGGAGGACACAGATCTCTCTAACTTTTGTGCACATTTTCAGGTATTTAATGTAATAACTGGTCCAAACTTGATACAAATGTCTCGTGAGTCTATTTGTGTGCTCCTATGTTCTCGGAAGTTCAGGCATTGGCCACTGAGAATATTGGCTTGTCCTTTTCCGGGGTCATATTCAGGCTGAGAACAGTTCTGAGAAGACCATACTAAAAATACAAAAATTATAGCACACATTGAATGTGAAATACACTAGTTATTTAAGTCTGGAAAATCCTTTTTTGTGATTTTAAGCTGTGTATTCTATACCTCTACAAAAGTAGCTACTGACTACAGAAACAAGTGACTAGGAGAAGGAGGGATCATTCATTTCATTGCTTACGCGGTCTCAGTTTTTCCTAGTGAACAGAGGCAGAAAAGGCCAGTTTCTGATTTGTGAAGCCTGCCTCTGCTTATAGGTGAAGCTTTGTGAGCTTTTGTTGCTAACTTTTTGCAAGCTGGCCTATGATAGTTCTCGCACCTAGCTGGCCATCCTTCTTCAATTTACTTCTGAGTGATGATGTAATTTCTGGATAAAACAACAGACTGGTTCAGGCAGGAAAAGTTCTTTGCAGAACTCTACTGGCAACAATCAGGAATCAGAATGACAGAGGCATGTTCTCCAAAGCAACAATGGCTTTTGGTTATTAATTTTCTCTTGGTGTATGGTATTTACTGTACACTAAAACCCCTAATATCAGTACTAAGTATTCTAATCAGTTTGTGAAAAGACACAGAGCCCAAAGCTCTTGACCATTTTGCCAAGCATATTACTTTCATTACTAGTTCAGCTTTGACGTATATTCAAGTTCCCAGTTTCACGCTACGTGTTGCAAAGTCCTACTACCGTGAACTACCTATCATCTGTGCTTCCACTTTCTACAGGACAGAGTTTTCTCATCTATGTCAAGCCAAGCTGCTTTGCATAAAGTTTGAAACAGATGCTAGATGAATAGCACAAGACCTGAAAATCTCCTCCCCTTACACAATCTGAGCACTTAATCTTTAGAAACACTTATCTTCTGTAATCTGATATTCAAGAGTTTTGAATGAAAGATGAAAATACATTGGACTAGTTTTGAACAAAGAATACAAATAAACTAACTTTTCCTACTCCTTTCCTCTATTGAGTTTGTATTTCTGGTGTTAATGCTATCATTTGCTAACAACTTCTGGAAGAAAAGAGCACTTAGTGCATCTCATTTTGTTTCCTTTTCACTCAAGATCCTAGCTGCAAAGGAAACTGCTGCCAAATACTAGCCTGCCAGAGACAGACCATACTGAGCTGCATGACAGAAGGACGCCTCAACCATATCCTCGATGTCCTTCGCTCACAGCAAATGTTGTCCCGAATGGATTATGAAACAATTACCTCTTATCCCACAGTGACTGGGCGTGCTCGGGCATTGTTGGACACTTGCCTTTGCCTTGGAGAGAGGGCAGCACAAGTTGTAGTGACTGTACTTCCAGTGACCAAATTAGTCCTCTGGGACAAGGCAGCCACTGCCCAGACTATCCTTCTAAGGTAAATAGGCTGCTGTTGTGACTTTTTTTTTTTTTGCAGTTTGTTACAGGCATCAGAGCAGTGGTAATTTGGAATGGCAATGATTCATATTAATTCCTCATAACCCATTGACTGAAGTCAAGCCTTCCTACAGCCCATGATTTTAGTCCTCTAGTAAAAAAAGCTAGCTGGATTAAAAGGTCAAGTCAACCACTGCCTGCAGAAATCACCAAGACTGGTATAACAAATTCTGATTTGGACCTCAGAGATGGGAGGAGTGCAACGTGTGCCAGACCAAATACAGTTCAAGACAGGTGACACCTGGATCATGACTTTTTGGAGGTCATGCTATGGAAGAATGGCTGTTATTAAATCCTTCCAAATAAGGATAGCAAACAGGGTACTGGAGGAGGAGAAAAAAAGTTACTGCCTTTCACTGAGCTCATATCTGAGCCAGCTGTCAGAGTGAAAGCCTTAAGAGAATCAAGACATATTTCTTCAACAGGGCCTTACGTAAGACTTGGAAATTTTATATTATGCAATAAATTATTTTATTTTCACTCACAAATGGTCACATGCTCTGAAAATGGGGCACTGATAGCAACACTTTGGAGAGGTGGGGCTTAAAGTATTTACTAAATGGAAAAACATTAATACCTTGCATCCATGTAGTTCTCTAAGTATGTCTGAAGTTCAAATGTAAAATTAAACCAGGAAGAAGAGGTGTGAAGCTGATCATTTTGAAACAGTGGTTCTGCTGAAGGGTAAAAGAAAGTAGTAAGATTATTTTAATTATAATGAAAATGAGGTTATATAAGATGCTGGGGTTTTTTGAAGGCACAGTGGGATTCCTTCAAGTTTCATGGCACTGGATTAACATGACAACTTGTTATACAATCTACAAGTATTTCAAATGCAAAACCATTTTACTCTGTTTCCCTATGTTGCAGTTGTTCTCTCTGCGGTTTCAAACTGCTTATTGAATTCAGTAGTTTGGCAGGTGCAATTTTAAATACAGGATGATGTGTTTTCTAGGCACGTTTAAGAGATAAGAAATATGTTACATCACATACTATAACGCTGCTGGGACCATAAACTTTTTTCTTTTTACATAAATTCATTAAACTTTAAGACCGCCTTGAGATAATATATTGTTACCATTAAAAGCAATGTCTATCAGAATATGTTGATAATAGTTTTGCCTATTAAAGGAGCTAAACATCTACTTCACTGAAATGTTTTCAATGTATACTTTAAATGGAAACTTTCAACAGTCTCTGCTGAAAAATGATGTCTTGCTTGTGAGGAAAAGAACTGCTGTTGTGGTGTTTTGCCTGTTTAGAAGGCATAATCAGAGTAAAACAGGTAATCATTCACCTGTGGGAAATTTTTACAGACATTTAAGAGAGAAAGTAGCAATATTGTTGAAACTTAATTATCAGCTTTCAGAAATTATTCCATTCATTTGTTCTGCTGGACACTTCATAATTCTGTGAAAGATAGGCCAGCTGGCAGGCTATGTTGATTTTTTTCTCATTATGGTTTTGGTTCTTTTCTTGAAACAGCTGCCTACTTGAGAATATAATTTGATGCCAGACCTAAGCCCAGTCTTAACTGTTAATTGCAGAACTGGCATCAAATCAGTGGGAGCACAAGTTATCCATTTTTCCAGACAGATATTTGTTCTCCTCATATCTAGCTTTCCAATGTAGGTATTTGTAACAGGATGTGACCTTAGAGTTAGATCTATTACTATCATGCTTACCCAAGTTTTTTAGAAGATAACCCAAGACAGTTTATAACGAATTACAAAACAAAGGCAAATTTGTTATTTAATATTCAAAAGAGCCTGAATAGAATTCTTTAAATATGTTGTTTAATAATAACTCTATCCACAACCAGATTTTTGCCACCTTGCTCAACTGAAATCAATGTATGAGTTTGAGATTTTTTTGTATCGATACTTTGGCTAAAAGCATTGTCATAACTAACTATGCTGCTGCCAAAGCCTTGCTATAAACATACTTAAGTTAATGTAGCCAAATGCACAGACTTCCCCATAACTCTCCCTTGTATAATATAAACATTTAAACTTTGGGGTGGTTTGACAGCTGCAGCTGTTGGGAATCTTTAAGTGTGGTATTTTTGAAGGGATGCTACTAGTTTATTGAAATGAAACTGCTGTTGATACAAAAAGTTTTGATACAAAACTAGAATACAGTGACCTGAAACTAGCACCATTTCATTTTGTCTCGCCAAAAATACATACTCTTGTAAGGCCTATAATGTGTTGGCTATGTAAAAAAGACATTAATGTAATGTGTTGATCACTGATGTGAAGTATCAAACTGCTTAAAGTTTATGGTATTCTACTTGTACCCATTAGTTCATTAGCTAAGATTTCTATTGTCCTTGTCTCTGTGTTCTGCAGTTATCTTGATATCACAAAACAATATAGAATAAATGACACTGAGCAAGAGTAAAGATAGAAGACTCAAACTGTTCTTCAGTATCTATGGGAGGAAACAAGGCTTGAATGCGAAGGATGTCTAGAGTCCCAGGAAGGACATATAAAAAATGGGTAGCTCTAGAAAACAGCAAAGGGAATAATAAAAAGAAGTCACTTCAGGACTGACCATACAAAGTGATTAGTAAAACTCTCTCTTGCAGTTAATCAGAAAAGACAAAAGTACAATTAATAGATGTTAAAAATATTCATATTCAAATTCTATGAAGCTATTTAGATTTGTTAAAGGAACAGTAAGAGGAGTAGGCAGATGGTTTTTTTTTTTTTACTTTACTGTAATATATTTTTCTTCTTGTTGCTGGTTGCAGCTATCTTTTGCTGACTTGTAAAAAGGTGACTGTCCCTTGCCCTTTTTCCTATCTATACAACACCTTTATCTTAGCTGGGATACTTCCTGCAACGTAAGAACCTCTGCACTAGAATTTGTTTGAGGTTAATTTGTGGAAAATTAATCTGAGGTTCTGGAATGAAATGTCTAAGAGATTAGTCCTTCCAGTAGAGACCAAAACAAAGCTATAAATACCACTCAATATTTGTCACCAGTGCCTGTTAAAAATAGTTCCAGAGAACAACAGAGGAAGACAAGTGCATATTCATAAAATACTAATCTACAAAATTTTTAAAGAGGCATTAATGGACTGCTAATGTACACAGAAGAATTTTACACTAGGTAGGTAGTCTAAAACGTAAAAAAACTAAAGCACTAACCAAAACACATACTAAACCTCAAGGATTCTTATTTTATTATTTCAAGTCTGAATTCTATATAACCCTGTAAACATTTTCTTGCTTATGCAAGTTTGGTCACTTGAGCTATTCATGTGAAGATTTGTAAGGAAAGTTAAGTGCATATATAAATACTTGTGGGACTGGTATGTTGTGGAAGGACCCAAACATCATCAAGGCAGGCAGAGAGAATTTAGGTTTCTTTACTGCTATTTATTGATTGTAGTGCTATACAGCTATTAACTATGCTCTCCTTCAGTAATATATGTTGTCACTAAGACTGCTGGGTTTTTTATGCGTGAAGAAATCTTGTCTTGCACTATATTCCCTTTCATTCTTTTCCTGCCCCCTTTGCAAAATATTATACTGGAGCTCAAAAGGCCTTAGCATAGTTTTGATTCTGTTCTTTATCAAAGGAAGCAATCCCTTGCTTGCTTTGTCTGGTACTACATTCCCTTTACTGAGTGCATGGTTGACTTGACAGCTGGTATGTCAGCAGAGTTAAACAAAACTCTGGGATTTTGAAGGTAAGTCCACCATAAATTAAACTACCTGACAAGGTCTGAAAAGAACATATTTAATGAGTTATTTGTGTTACATTAAAGTTAGGGTAGCTGCAAGAATACAGTAATTGTACAGTTAAATTCTGGATGTGTTGAAGAAAGGCTGCTGCTGGTAGTTGCAGCATTGCATTTTGCTTAATCCCAACATGACAAAAATGGTAGACAAGAAGCTCAGATGTACTATTGCGAGCTCTTGTGCTGATATGACAGAAAATGGTGATCAATATTTTGTTATTTTCTGCCTTAATTTCTCTTTGCCAAGAATACAACCCAGTTAAGAGTTGCAGAGATCTATAGCCTCAAACTGCCATCTCTGCTGGGCTTTAAGGTTGACCTTTCCTCTTCCACAGAAGTAAGAGATGCATCAGTTGAAGAAACTGTGGACTCCTTCAGCCAGGCTGAATTAAAAGGTAGTGATTGAGAATAAACACTTCTTCAACCCTTGAAATGTGATAACATTCCAAAGTATTTCAACACCTATTTCCAACTGTTGGTCTTGAACTTTCCACATAGCAACAACAATCTCTGTATGAGCAGAAAGCACAGCTGAATTTCACCCTATCAGAAGTAACCTGGCTGTACTCCAGATAGTTCTGTACAGCTAGTCCTTTCTTTAGATTTCAAGGAAAATTGTTCATATTAATTAACAGAATGACCACCTACATTATATTTGTTTTCCTTTCACCAAAAAGGGCTCAAAGCTTTTTTCAGCTCATTAGAATGTTACCTGGGGAAAAAGAGAGAAGTGACTAAGGAATACACCTAGAAAATAAAAAAAAAAAACCCCAGATGTATGAGACTTTTCACCTTGGAAGAGCTGCACAATATGTTCCCAAAAGAACTGTCTTTATGCCACTTAAATGTGCTGCGATAGCATCATGTCACAAAAGAACAGGAAACTAGGAGGAAAACGCTGTGAGGTGAGTGCCTGCCACGTTCACTTGTGTGTGTGCAAGGTGCTGAACTAACCACTGTTTTCCATTCCATGCTGGCAATGTTTTAGCTGGAAAACAGTATTCAGCTCTAAGCATGGACTGAGGAGAGCCCAGAAGAGAGAGGAAGGCTGATAAGCGGTGAGGAAACCTGACACGTAAGGACAAGTTGATAAAATTGTGTTTGTTTTGGTCTAGCAAACAGGAGACAAAGGGAAGATACAAGAGTCTGGAGCAGAGGCAGTAAACATGCAGAGATGAAACAGAGGCACCAACC